CTAGAGTGCAGGCTCAGTAGTTGCGGTGCACGGGCTTAGTTGCTCCACGGCATGTGAGATCTTCCCAGACCAGGGTTCAAACTCATGTCCCTTGCATTGGCAGGCAGATTCTTAACCACTGCGCCAATATGTCCCGCCATTGTGTTTTAAATTTCGATTTGCACTTGTTTGCCCGTTGTATACAGAAAAATGGAATGAGAACAGATATCCTTGCCTTGTTCCCAACCTAAGGAGGAAAGTTTTCTGTCTCACCATTAAGACTGACTGTAAGCTTTAGATAGCTTGTTGATTCCTTTTTTTTTTAACTTGAGGATGTTCTCTTCTTTTTTAGTTTGCTGACAGGTTTATTATAAATTTGTTATTTATTACGAGAGTGGTAATTATGACAATTTATTATGAATTAGATTTTGTTCAGTGTTTTTTCTGCATCAACTATATGATTATATGATTTTTCTTCTTTAACCTATTGATATGTGGATTACATTGATTTTCTAATATTGAACCAGTCTTGTATACCTGGAAATCCCATTTAGTCATGGTATGTAAATCCTTTTTTTTTATTTAATAAATTTATTTATTTACGTATTTATTTTTGGCTGTTTTGGGTCTTCGTTTCTGTGTGAGAGCTTTCTCCAGTTGCGGCGAGCGGGGGCCACTCTTCATCATGGTGCGCGGGCCTCTCACTGTCGTGGCTTCTCATTGCAAATCACGGCTCCAGACATGCAGTCTCAGTAGTTGTGGTTCACGGGTCCAGTTGCTCCGTGGCATGTGGGATCCTCCCAGACCAGGGCTCGAACCTGTGTCCCCTGCATCGGCAGGCAGACTCTCAACCACTGGGCCACCAGGGAAGCCCCTGTAAATCCTTTTGATGCATTGCTTGATATGGTTTACTGCTATTTTGTTGAGAATTTTTGTATCAAATTTCATGAGAAATATTGATCTTTAGTTTTCTTTTTGTACTGTCTTTGTCTGGTTTCCATATTAGGGTAATGGCCACCAGGGAAGCCCCTGTAAATCCTTTTGATGCATTGCTTGATATGGTTTACTGCTATTTTGTTGAGAATTTTTGTATCAAATTTCATGAGAAATATTGATCTTTAGTTTTCTTTTTGTACTGTCTTTGTCTGGTTTCCATATTAGGGTAATACTTATCATATGAAATGAACTAGGAAGTGTCCTCTACTCTTCTGTTATCCATAAGAGATTGTTTGAACTTGGTGCTAATACTTTTTTTAAAGGTTTGTTAGGATATTTCAATAAAATCATCTGGACGTGGATATTTCTTTTATAGGAGATTTTAAATTATGAATTAAATTTATTTAAGGGGCATAGATATTTATATTATCTGTTTCATCTTGGTTGAGTGTTTGTAGTATGTGATTTTTGAGGAACTTTTGTTTCTTCTAAGTTGTGAGCATAAAGTTAGTGGTAGTATTTTCTTATTTTGTTTTTAATGGCTGCAGCATCTGTGGTGATATACCCTGTTTTATTATTGATATTGGTGATTTTTGTCTTCTTTCTTTTTATCTTTGCCCGTCTTGCTAGAGCTTTATAAATTTTATTGATTTTATTCAAAGAACCGGATTTTTTTTTTACATCTTTATTGGAGTATAATTGCTTTACAATGGTGTGTTAGTTTCTGCTTTATAACAAAATGAATCAGTTATACATATACATATGTTCCCATATCTCTTCCCTCTTGCATCTCCCTCCCTCCCACCCTTCCTATCCCACCCCTCTAGGTGGTCACAAAGCACCAAGCTGATCTCCCTGTGCTATGCGGCTTCTTCCCACTAGCTATCTATCTTACGTTTGGTAGTGTATATATGTGCATGCCACTAAAGAACCAGATTTTTGTTTTTTATTTTCTCTTTTGTATTCTTATTTTAAATCTCATTGATTTCTGCTCTGATGTTTATTATTTCTTTTTTTTTTCCTTGTTGTTTAGGGTTATTTTACTCTTCTTTCCTGGTTTCTTGAGGCAAGAACTTAGTTTACTGATTTGAGATCTTTCCTCATTTGTAATGTAAGATTTTAGTGCTGTAAATTTTCCTTCCAGTGCTGATTTAGATGTAGCCCATAATTTGGTATGTTGTATTTCCACTTTCATTCAGTTCTGTTTAATTTTTTTTTTTCCTTTGAGACTTTCTCTATGACCCATGCATTATTTAGAAGTTTAAAAAATGTTTCCAAGTGTTTGGACATTTTTCTCTCTGTATGTTATTAATTTCTATTTTTATTCCATTATTGTCAGAGAACATCTGTAAAATTTAATTTCTTTTACATTTTGTTGAGGTTTGTTTTATGACCCAGGATATGGTCTTAGTAAATATTCCATGTATGCATGGAAAGAATGTGTATTCTTCTGTTGTTGCATGGAGTATTCTATAAATGTTAATTAGATCCTGTTGGTTGGTGGTGGTGTGCAGTTCTTCTATACCTTTGCTGATTTTCTATCAATTGCTGAGAATGGGGTATTAATGTCCCCAATTATAATTGGGATTTGTCCATTTCTCCTTTCAGTTGTATCAATTCTGTTTCATGTGAATAGAAGCTCTACTGTTTGGTTTCTTATAGACAGCTTATAATTGGGTCATGCTTTTCCATTCACTTTGCCAATTTCTACCCTTTACTTGGTATATTTAGACTATTTACATGAAAGTAATTACAGGTATGTTAGGCTTAAATCTGCCATCCTATTTTGTATATTCTCTGTTTCTTCTGTTTCCCATTCATCTGTTTCTCTTCTCTTACCTTCCTATGTGTTACTTGAGCACATTTTTTGAATTCTATTTTTAATTATTTATGAGATTTTTGTGGTGCATCTCTTTGAATAGTTTATTTAGTGGTTTCTCTGGACATTACAATATACATACATAACATATCACAGTCTACTGGTATCAACATTTTATCACTTTGAGTAAAGTGTAGAAATCTTATTTCCATTTATGTCCTTTTATTATCTTCACTTTTTAAAATGAATTGCCTGAGGTATTTCCTCTGCATACACTGAGAACCGCATCAGACAGCATCGTAATTTTTGTTTCAACCATCAAATGTGATTTTTTTTAAATCATGAGGAGAAGTATGGTCTAATATATAGCCCTGTATTTTACCCATTCTTCTTTCCTTTTTCTTGTTCTTCCTTTCGGAAGTGCCAAGCCTTCTCTTACTATCATTAACATTCTATTTGAAGAACTTCCTTTAGCCATTCTTTAAATGTAGGTTTACTAGCAAGAACTTCTATTAGTTTTCCTTCATATGAGAATCTCTATTTCCCATACCTTGCTAAAGGATGCATTCATGGTTGACAATTCATTTCTTTCAGCACACAAACAATATTGTGCCACTTCTAGCTGGTCTCCGTGGTTTCAGATGAAAAATCTGCTGATATTCCAAATTGGTATCACTTTATAGGTAATGTGTCATTTCTCTCTGGCTGCTTTCAAAATTTTTTCTTTTTCTTCAGATTTTAAATTTTCTTTATGTCTAGATTTTTCAGATTTTTGCCTATGTGTCTTGGTATGGATTTCTTTAAATGTACCACGTTTGGGATTTGCCCAACTTCTTAGATCTGTAGGTTTATGTCTTTCCCCAAATTTGAGAAATTTTCAGCTACCATTATTTCTTTGATTATTTTTTCAGCTTCACACTTTTTCTGGGACTTCAATGACATAAGTATTATGTTTTTTTTCTTTTTTATTGATCTACCCGTCTCATAGGCTCTGTTTATTTGTTGTTGTTTTTGTTGGTGATTTTCTCTGTTTTTCAGATTGGGCAATTTCTATTGTTCTATCATTTAGTTCCATCTATCTATCAGTCACTGAAAGAATCAGTGATTCTTTCCTTTATCATATTTATTACACTACTGAGCCAATGTGGTGAGGTTTAAAAAAATTTTTTTGTGTTTGGAAATTATACAATTTCCATTTGGTTCTTTTATATATCTTCTATTTTGTGACATTTAAAAAAAAGTTTTATTTGTAATTACTCATTAAAGCATTTTTGTGATGGCTGCTTTAAAATCCTTATTGAATAATTCCAATATTTGTGTCATCTCAATGATTTTAGGTTTAGGTTTCTTACATAAACTATTTAGATTTATTAGGTAGATTCTGGCTTATTTTGTGGGCTATGGTTCCAATCACAATTTAATTTTCAGAGCCCTGACCATGCTATTCTTGTCTGTTTTGTTCCCTGTGCTATTGGTGTTCTTGCCCCCTGCTTGTGCTGCCTGCAGGGGCAAAGGACACTGCTCTATATTGTCCAGTGCTACTAAGTAGAGGGTGGGAGACCTCAAACCCACAGGGCAGAGACCACTTCCCTGGGCCTCACCAGTAGCTCAGGGCTGGGAATGTGGGGAGAGGGGCTCCCACTTGATCTCCACTAGTGTTACAGTAGGAGAGAAGTACACCTACCAAGCCATATTCTGCCACTTGGTGAGGGGTTGGGAGATGGAAGGCCTGGGAACCCTAAAATTTGTGTGCAGCCTTTTTTCTTCACTGAACTGTTTTATGGAATTGAAATTTTATTTCTCTCTGAAGCCATATTTTCACTGTGAGTCAGACAATAGAGCTGTCAAATTTCTAAAACCTGCTTCCCTAAAATCTCCACCCAGAATAACCATAGTTTACTTCAGGTAAGCTCATTCTTATTCACCTGAAGCTTTTTTTTTTTTTTTTTTAACTTTAATTCTCTCATCTCAAGCAACTCTTGCTCATTGGTCAACCCCAAATGAGAGTAGATATTTCCTTGACAGTTTATTCTAACCACTAAGAGATGAAATGATCAACATAAGGGTAAAGAATTTATCAGATCCTCTGCTTTGTATAGAGTGAGTTAGACAAAGCTCACAGATTTGAAGTTCCCAGTTTCTAAAATACCTTGCCTCTATGCCAGGTGATAGCTCTGAATTAAAAAGCATTCTGGGCTTGAACTACTCCCATCACACTACCATGTCTGTTTTTCCTCTCATCATCCTTACTCAAATGCCTTGCACCATGGTCCTACCATGCAATTTGAAAATATCTGTATCTTCCGTGCTGGCCTTCACCTCCAACTTTGACTTCTATGGTACCTGTGTCTCTGAAGCATAATTTATCTTTCTATTCCCATCACATGCTATGTTTCATCATGTTTGGTTGCTGTCTATGAGACAGTATTCACCATCCACCATCTTCTATTAAATGTGAGGCTTCCTCTGTATGTTATCCATCCTCACCATCATGACTATATGGACACCTGAGGTCCTAAGTTGCATTCCTGATGCTCTCCCAACACTTCAAAATGTTCAAGTCTATACACGTTCAGCACCCAAACCACTCATTCAGCCATTCATCTAGCCCATCACCGTCTTTCCAGCACACCATGTTGGTGCTAAGAAACTTCCAGGCCATATGGAGGAGACTGAGACATATATACAGTTCAGGTGCTCAGGGCCACAGTGGATAAAAACACAGTGATGTGGGGAAGCAGAGCGAGGTCCCACCCAGCCGAGGGGAGTCTGAGAATCTATCTTGGAGCAGGAAAAGATCTACTGTGCTCCCAAAGGATGAGTACAAATTAGTTATGCAGAAAGAAGGAAGTGAGGTTGGGTATTGAGAGGAGATACTCTGCCTGAAGTCACAAGGGTGTAACCACAGTGGTCTCTCCTGACCATTGGTCAGTGTCAGCGGGGAGGTGAGGTATGGAGGTGTGGCCATAAGAGAGCTGGCTGGAGACCAGGCTACATGAACCAGCAGGGGGAACTGTTTGTCCTGAGGGCAGTGAGCTGAAGGGCTGAGGGCAAGGGAGTGACTGGAGCATGTTGTGTGTTAGAGAACTCACTCAGGCTGCTGTGTGGGCCTAGACTCCAGGGGTGGATGGGGGTGGGGGGAACACCCTGTGCTAGACTGAGCATAACCATGTGTCATCAAGGAATACGAGGCAACTATTAAAGAGAACAGTTAAATCTCTCTCTACTGAGAAAACTAGAGGGAAGTCCATGGAAAACTCCTTCACTGCAGAAAGCACATGTGCTGTAATTGATATGTACTGCAATATGTAATTATAACATGATGTCATTAGAGTAAAATTAAAAGAAAAAAAAAAACAAGTCTATCTAGGAGGATGTGAGTTTGTAAGTTTCTGAGAGGAAGGGGAGATGGAAGGAAGGCCACAACCCAGAATGCTAACAAAGCTTACCTCAGCGGGTTAGGACCTCAGGGGATTAATTATAAGATTATTAATCCTTGAAATGCTCTCCACATTGTTTGATGAATTATATTAAGCACGTTTTACCTTTGTAATTAAAAAGAAAACAAAGGCCTGCACGTGATTTCCAGCTCTTGTCTTATAACCTAACAGGTTTTCTCGACTGTTCCAAACCCCACTCATTGTTTATAAAACAGGAACAATCATCCTCCTCCCAGAATTTTGAAATTGAAATATGCTAATTCATCAATTTCTCTGATGTACATCTATTGAGTGACCCCTGTGGCAGGTTCCGTGCTGGGGCTTCGACGGTGAGAAAGGCTGACAGGACTGCGCTCTTCCAGCTAAGGATGTGTGCACAGGGGTTTTTTGCCCGGCCACATAAATGAGGGGCTGACAATGGCACTTCTTGCCCTGTGGCAAGGAGGATCGAGGGGAAGATGATTTGGGGGTCGTGGGCCTTTGTGTCTTTCCCCTCGTGGGACCTCATGGGCGGCCCCCTGCTCATACAGAGGGGATTTGGGCACAGGCTGGGGGCCCCTGCTCTCTGCCCTCTGCAGCAGCAGCCGTCTGCCTGGGTTGTGTTTCAGATCCAAAGCCCAAGAAGAGAAATGGGATAAACTGCTTCACGGTCTTGCTGCTCATCTACCTGATTCTGCTCACCGCAGGTGCTGGGCTGCTGGTGGTGCAAGGTAAAGCATCTGGGTCCTGTCTGGTCCCTCCTGGGGTGACAGTGTGGCCCGGCCCGACACAAGGCTCAGGTTCACAGGAGAGCCATTGGGGCCACTGCTGCCTATCTGCTGGGAGAGAGTTCTCAGTCCCTGGGTGGTCTGCATGGTGGGGGGAGAAGAGGGGGAAGCAGAAAGGGGAGTGTGTGTTGCATGCGTGTGTGTGTGTGTGTGTGTGTGTGTGTGTGTGTGTGTGTGAGAGAGAGAGAGAGAGAGAGAGCAAGAGGGAGGGAGGGAGGTAGAGAGAGAGAGACCACATGTGTGAGGCTGTGTGTGTCTGAAGCAGTGAAAGATGCAGTGATCTCACAAGGATGTGCCTCGTGCATCTCACATCAAGGATTTCCTGCCTCTGTAGCTTTGTTGGTCAGAGTGTTTCATTTTAACATGATTTGACTTTCAAAGTGCTCCCAATCCAAATGGTGAGGTCATGAAGCAATTCCATCAGCAGATAGTGAAGTCACTCAAGAATGCCATGTGGCCAGTTGTCATAAACACACGTCAAACGCATATGAAAGTCACACATGATTAGGCCAGATCAGCATATTAGCGGCCACACTTTCATGTCCAAGCATGCACAGATCTCCTAACTGCAAGCAGGTTGTTTGTGGGCGCAGAAGTTATACAGGGTGTAGGTATGTTCTGTGGACGTGTAATGTCATATCTGAGTGTGGAGCGCACGTGTGCAAGATACAAAGTTCTGTGTGCTCACTCTAGGTCCTCACGGTACACTAAACACGTGCTTAGCTGTTCAGGACGCAGAGTTATGCATATGTGACACAGAATGTCAGGGTTATGCTCAAGTGCCTCGGGCTTTAATGAAGTCCCTAAAAGGATGCTGCAGGCGTGGCGGTGGGGTGTCCAGTTCTGAATCTGCAGAAGCGGCTCCGGGCCCTGGAGATGCCCTACAACAATCAAACGCTGGTCCCCGAGCATCTCCTGCAGACCCAGCTCATCCGCGTCCGCACCAGGCAGGAGCACCTACTACGACTGGTGGACAACTTTACTCGGATCCCAGGTTGGCCCCTCCCCCTTGGGCTGGGACTCCCCAGAGAGGACGGGAAAGGGGGAGCGTCTCGTGTGCAGACCAAGGGGCCTTTGGACCTGAATCCCATTCTCTGGCCTCTTATGAGAGTGTGGAGGCCAAGACAGGGGGTGAAGGCCGTATGGGGAGGGCGTGAAGTTACAGGCACCCTGAGTGGCTACAGACAGCTCTCCGGGAGACAGTGGGGTCAGGGACCTAGGAGCCAAGGGTGCTGTCCAGACGAGTGTGATCTCCAAAAGCCAAGGTCTGCAGCAACCCGCCGAAGGCCGGGTCTGAGTCACGGAGCCCTCAGACTGATCCAGAGTGTGCAGGACAGAGCCCAGGATGATTTTCAGGACCACTCCCAAGCAGCAAACTGGTCTGTGGCTGGAGAGAGTAACAGTGGGCACGAAGCCAGTCTGGCCAGCGCCTAGACCTTTGAGGGGAGAGGACAGAGGGCCTGACCTTATAGAGGAGAGAGCCCTGGCTCCTCCCACCATGTGAAGACACAGAGACAGGCTGCAGTCTGCAGCACAGAAGACCTTCCCCAGAACCCTACCAGGCCAGCCCCTGATCTTGGGCGTCCAGCCTCCAGAAGTGGGAGAAGTGAGTTTCTGATGTTTAAGCTCCTCCCACCCCGGTCTGTGGTGTGTTGTTATAGCAACCAGAATGGACCAAGACAAGACAAGGAGCCCTGTCCCGGCCACCCGAGTCTTTGGGAGGCTCTGGTCCACAGGGCAGCCCTGGCAAGGGAGAGATCTGACGTAAGTGGCAGCGGTGATGGGTACCATTTGTCAGAGCATGGGTGTGCTTTCCGTGCTGGTCTCTATGTGGCGGCCTCAGGACAGCCCTGCATAACTGGTATATGAACCCCATTTCGCTGATGAGAAAGCTGATGCTCCAAACAATGAGAGGATGTGCCCAGGGTCACCCAGCTAAAGTGGCACTGCTGCCGCTCGAACTCAGGTCTGTCTGGCTCAGCTTTCCTCGGAATCATCATCTGCATGGCTGTGTTTTGCTTATTGGGACATGAGCTCCTTGGAGGACGGAGCTCCGTCTTTTCTTGTGTTCCTTCCACACAGTTTGGCTGGTCCTCGGTGCTAAGTGACACTCGTTAAGTGAATGATGGTGTGAGTAGCATTGTCACCCCACCTTGTTGGTTGGGGCATTGGTGCCTCTGCCCCTTCTCCTCAAGTCTTCCAGGTCCAAAGGGGCCCTCGCCTCCCCCATCTGCCAGGGCCACCAACGGAGAAGAGGGCCCCGGACAAGATGGAGCCACAGAAACCCGCCTCTGTCTACCGACCCCATAATCCTTTTTCTCCTCCTTTGTGCAGGCTACATTCTGAATTCCTTCTCCTTTCCAGGACCCCCAGGACCCCAAGGTCCACCAGGAATCAAGGGAGAGGCAGGTGAGCAGGGGCTGGGTGTGTGCTCCAGCGTGCACAGAAGGCTGTCTCGGAGCAGCTGCAGGGGACCACAGGAACACACGCCATCCCCAGAGTCTGAACACCCGGTGGGGTCTGTATGTGAGGGACGTCACCTGAAGTGAAACCCTAGATGGGCTGGGTTACTGGGAAGTACCTGCATCCCGGGGAGGACATCTAGGTGTGGCTGGAGGGGTGTGGACACTCCAAGCCCCTCTTTGGTGCTCAGAGTACAAGCCTGTGAGCCTCATGGGGAAGAGTCAAGCTCTTTGGTCCCGACTCCAGAGTCTGACGCATCTGCCTTCACCATAGACTGGCTCTGTGACTTCGGAAGCATTCCCTTACCTTTCTGAGTCTCAGTTTCTTTGTCTGTAAAATGGGGACAAGAGTGCCTCAGAGGGTAACTAGGAGGTTAAAATAACGATTCAAAGCACATGATTGTCTCTCCCTTTTAGGTTGTGGCCTTAACCTGCCCAGCTGCCTTACAAATGGCCACGGCATAGCTGGGTCAGAGAATGTGAGGGCTTGGCTGCCCCCGGTGGGGAGGGGGCCTCCATCACTGCTACAGTCTGCTCTGCTCTTCACTTAGACTCTCAAACGTCCAATCCCTGGAGGGGTTGAGGCTGCTGAGTTGTAAAGATGCAAAGACAAACGTTACTGGAGGAAAAAGCAAAATGAGAGGATTTGCAAGAAAGGGGGAAATAAACAAACCAAGAGCCTCTCAGCCTCCAGGCCACTGAGACAGAATGAAAAACACCACCAATTACAGAAGGGAAACTCGATAAAGGGAAACTCTTTTTCGAGTGACTAATTTTTTGGAAGGACTTTAAGAGAAGGGGGAATCCCAAACAACCTAGTGTTCTAGGTCACCAGCAGGGTTCTTCCGGGGAGCTTTTCAGGGGGAGGACTAGTAGAAGGAGAGTTTAGGGACACACACAGGCACTCGAACACCCACGGGCTCACACACACGTGTGCACACACATTTATGCAACACATGCACCAGCATACTCGTGCACGTCCTCACATGTGCACATACACTCACATGCGTACATGCCCACACACGCACTCACACGCATTCACCGTCCAGCCACAAACTCACTCACACACGCTCACTCAACCTTCAGAGCCAGAGTGGGGCAGGGTCACTCAGAGGGTGGTGGGTCACCAGGCATCCCAGGGGCACAGCTGTGGTCCCTTTTGTCCAGGTGAGCAAAGGATAGGAATGGGAAAGCTAAGAGCAAAGGTACAACGTGCGGCCAGCGGGGATGCAGGCAGTGCTGGGAGCTCAGAGAAGAAGAAGCTGAGGGGCCGAAATGGGGCCTGAGGTGGGCCTGGGGAGGGAGGGGAGACCACCGGCAGTGAGGGCTGATTCCAGAAGGAGGACTTTAAGCATCAAGAATCTTCCCTTGATGGCCAGCACTCTCTCTAGAGTAGTGCTTCTCAAGCTATGGGTCATGGATAAGAACCATTTGAGGTGCTTGTTTAAAATGCAGGTCTGTGTTTTAGAGATCGTGGAGGGTTCTGACCCTGGACATGTAGGGGACAGGCTCCGAGAAGCATGGCCCGAGCACTCTGGCTGTGACTGAGCACCTCGTGTGCTCCTGGTCTCTTGGACTCCCAAGAGACCACCCTCAGGGTGGCTCTGGGCGCAGTAGGGGAATGAGGCTGTGGAACCAGTAGGCTTGGTCGTCATCCTTGCTCAACTGTGTGACTAGACACGTTACTTGGCCTGTTGAGGTTTAACCTCTTCCTTTCAGCAAAGAATGGCAATTACATTAAAATAATAATAATTAAATTATGTCCTGCTTTGCAGGACAGCTATAAGGGTTGGAGATCATGTGTTCAAACTCTGCTACATGGTCGGTAGTGTTAGTGATCCTGTAAAGTAGAAAGGGAAGGACTTCAGTTCTAAGATCAGACAGATCTGGGTTCTAATACAGCTCTAGCTGTGTAACCTCTCCGAGCCCCAATTTACTCACCTACAAAAGGGGGATAATAATAACAACCTTCAATGAGGATTGATTACAACAAGAATATAAGACAGAAGATTGTGATACTGTACCTGGCATGTAGGAAATATTTACATTAGAAGAAATGGAGGGTGCTTGCCATCAGGAAAAGAGAGCCCTTACAGGGATGTGTCAGCCATCCTCCAATATTAGAGAGGTTCCTGTGGAAGAGAAAATAGACTTGCTCTCAGTGGTACCCCGCAGAAGAATGGAGGCCAACGGGCAAGGGTTTCTAGAGAAACAATTGTGCTGAGGTAAGGGAGGGACAAATAGTTAAGACTTGGGCTGCCGCACGATGATATGGGCAGATGCGGGGTGTGGGGAGCAGGGGCTGCAGAATTTTCCTTGGTGGGACTGAAGGGGGATCCTTGCACCAGGCAGGTGGTTAGACAGTTGACCTGTGAGGATGATTCCAAAGGTGGCCCTCCGCATTTCTCTGTGGCCCAGACTTTCTCAAGGTGACCCTGCCAGCCCCAGAGAGGGGATGACAGCCAGGCTTTTGCCTGTGGAGTCTGAGCCACACTGCTTCCCATCCCACTCTCACCCACTGCCACGCCCAGACTCAGGCCTGGAAGCAATGTGGCTGGCGAGGGGAAATGATCAGTTTCACTTCTTCAGAAATCATGACTCTAACCTACCCCTCCTCTTCCCAAATTTCTTTTCCCAAGGTCACCAGATCTCTCTTACCCACTGCTTGCCCAATCCACTGCCAGCGCACGGGGCTAGTGGACCAAGTGGGACCCGCCCCAGCGGTATTGAGGTTTTCTGCTCTTTGCACCAGCAGATGGGTAAAGCCACAGTGATGAGGTTCCAGGGGACACAACTATTTCCCTCACTCCATCTTTAGCTGTGATGACAGGCAGGTTCTGAAGTCAGATGCAGCTGTGATTCCTCAGGCGCCGCCAGACTCTGGTCCTTTCACCGGTACTACTTTGCTTCTGAAGGTTGTAACTTTTGAGAGAGACACGGAAGTCATAGCAATACAGACTCAGGCCCAGACCAGTCTCAAGAAACCTCATACAGGGAATCCCCTGGTGGTCCAGTGGTTAGGACTCCGTGCTCTCACTGCAGAGGGCCTGCGTTCAGTCCCTGGTCAGGGAACTAAGATCTCGCAAGCCGCGTGGGGCAGCCAAAAAATAAGAAAAAGAAAGAAAGAAACCTCATAAAGCCACACAATTACCTTAGCGTGATGGCCCTGACTGGCCTAGAGCCATAGGGCACCAACAAATTCCTCCAGGGAAATCATTCTTAGCCTTGTTTAAGAAGTGCTATTTGGCCCTTCCACTCACGTGGATGCTCTGAATGACCAAAAACTTGTTTGCTGTTTGCACCTGAGTCTGTTGTAAGGGACTTCAATTGTAAACATGTTCTTTATGGCTCTTTTGTCTTCCATCAAGGAATAATTATTCTTCAAGTATCCAAACCGCCTCAAAGAAGCTAATTCCCAAGCCTTGCACCTAATGTCACTCAAACCTTAGACCCAGAGAGTTCTGTATGACAGTTGCTTCTTTCCCTCCACTCCAGACCACTTTGTCTACTTTTCCTAAATCACTAGAGAGGAGGCTGGCCCCCTTCTGAGTCCTCTCCAGCTCTGAAATCATGAAAATAATGGAATGGAGCCCTTTAACCAAATTCCATCCCAACAAGCTTGTCCCAGCCCCTGAGGGGGTTGCTTGGGGTGGAACTCTGCTGATGGTGGGACCTGGCTGGCTTCCTAAGCCAGTGGGTCCCGATGAGTAGGCCCTGTGCCGGGCGGCTGGCAGGTTTGGGCAGGGGTTGCTGACCCCTGCCTAGGGAGGAGCCTCCCTCGATTGATATGCGCTGAGCAGTGGCAGAAAGCAGAGGGAGACACGGAGAACCAGGAGAGGACAGACTGGGGCGAGCCCGGAATGCTGATGACAGGTGCGAACTCTGAAACCTTGGCCACCAGGAAAGCCAGGCTCTGAACCG